GGAACCCAATTCAAGGCCGGAGGGTTCAATGAGTTTTTACAGAGTTGGGGCATAAGTCACAGCTATGCAGCGGTCGGGTACCCTCAAACCAATGGACAGGTCGAGAACACCAATCGCACCATCATGGACGGTCTCAAGAAGAAAATAATGGAATGCAAAAGTGCCTGGGTGGAGGAATTGCCCTACATCTTGTGGACCTACAGGACTACCCCAAGGAAGGCCACAGGTGAAACTCCTTTCTCGCTCACATATGGATTTGAAGCAAGGGCTCCAGCAGAGACCTCATTGTTGAGCTATAGAGTGGAGACGTTTGATGCACAAGAGAATGAGGAGAACTTGAGGGCAGAACTGCACCTCGTTGATGAGCGAAGGGAAAGGGCATACATGCGAGCAGAAAATTACCGCCGACAGGTCAAGTCATATCACGACCAGCGGGTACGACCAAGGAAGTTCCAGGTGGGTGACTGGGTCCTTCGGAAAAGGGAAGTCAGCCGATCGACCGATAAAGGGAAGTTTGCTAAAAGTTTCGAGGGGCCATACATCATAAAGGAGGTTTTGGCTGATGGGACGTTTAGATTACAAACTCCAGCCGGAGGCGACGTTCCTCGAGTGTGGAATGCCGCCAACCTTGTTAAATTCTATCAGTAGATTGTATCCCGGCTATGTCTCTATCTTGTAGTTTAATAAAACCAGCATTCTGGCATGTCCTGTCTTCAATTCTCAAAAAAAAAAAGGAGCAACCGAAAGAGATCGCTAAGCCTAAACTGCATGGTGATTCGTGCTAAGATACCCAGTAGTGGGTGAAGCGTCGAACCCTGTCAAGCGACCAAGGTTGGAGGCGACGTCGAGGCAGGGGAGCCCAAGAAAACGGCTAAAATAACCCGGAAATGGCTAAGTCAAAAAAGGCGAGGTGTTCTTTGACTTAAGTCAGAGGAATCCTGAACGTCTAAAGTGGGATGCGAAAGAGAAGAAGATGGAACTTGTAAGTAAACAGGTAACATCAAAATACATTCACAAAAGTGTTTGTTACATTCCAAGGATAATCTTTTGCATCTACTACAATACATTTGAGAACAATCTCTACATAAAGGAGGGATACTTTTCCATACTTTTCCTATAGTAAAAGGAACAATCTAAAGTTTTGCGAGCAAAAGGCCTAGGGGGGACAGGCAGGTTAAAAGGGTAGTTCTGCAGCTCCATGGGCCGGCGGAACTCCGATCACCGGCCGTCCGGGACGACCACTTTTCTTCCCCGACGCGGAACAGGGTCGGTCGCCCCCAGAACCCCAACCAGCATCACCTAGATGAGGATGGAGATCCTGAAGCCGATCGAGCTACTCCAGGTCGCCTACGGGTTCTCCGGGAAGTTGCACGGTCGGAGGGGCGAGGTGGACTGGAACCCAGTTCTTCCCCCAACACAACCTCCTCCTTAGGCCTCACCGGCGAACTGGTGCGACTTTCGCCAGTCCATCGCTCAAGACT